AGGCTAAATTATTCACAACGAATGAGTCAATCAGCCCTATTCCCTCATAGACCACTGTTTCCGGGAGCTATTTATAAGTGAGACAAAATTGATGTGCTTGTATCATCTATTTCTCTACAAGAGGAAAGTGCATGATAATCCTCTTTTTATTCCCTTTATTAAGGCATTCCATGAATGTGAATGGCAACGAAAACCACAAGAACCATCTGTAATTGATACTGCACTGACAGCTGAACTGTTAAGTTAGTGAATTTGGCCAACATTACAAATTTCCTTGGTTCTGAGCAGACACTTAATAATGAAATACTTCATTTATTAAGTGATGTAGTCAGCAGAACTCTGAACAAAACAGCCCAGGCCAAAATGCTGTCACTGTCTTTTAAAATACCCGGTATACAGGGACTATCCTTTAAACCAAAATATCTAATTCCCAGGAGCAGCTACAATCAGAAATCACTGCTGGGGAAAAAAAAAAAAAAAGAAAACCAAAAACAAACAAGAAAAACCAACAACAACAAAAACAACAACAAAAAACCCACCAAAACAAATCATACAGATTTCTCTTCCCTGACTTTCCAGCCAGTTGCATTTCCCCCAGCCACAAGACTCCCTCCTACTTGGAGGGACTCAGATCTCCAGGACAGCAGAGAAAATAATGCAATCCCAATAAAAGGAATTTTCTGCTGAAAGAATGACTAACCCTTTGAGTGCTGGTTCAGAACAGCTTTAAGGGACTGGGCTACCACAACCCTCTGTGGTCCATGTTCTCCCTCTACAATAGGGCCAAGGTCCATAACTGTCATGCACTCTTTTTTGGCAATTACAGCTCTATCAGAATCAAGGAGTAAGTGAGCTTAATGATGATATTTTGTACGCAAACAGTTGCCACATTACTCATTTCTAAGGAAAAGAGAGCCACCATACAAAGATGCATTTCCAAAACCAATTTAAAGGTTAAGCCAGACAAGTTCCCTGAATCAGGATCTAATGAGATTCCAAGGCTCAGCTCGGGAGACTTGATGCTATACCAGCAAAGGAGAGGCTGCTCACACCTCTTCTGTCAGTGACAGCTGAGCCTCCCAGAAGGATACTGGCACTTCCATGGATCCTGGCTACCTCGTTTACCAATGAAACATCCCAATTAACTTCTATAGGGATTATGCATCGAATTCTTGCTGAAATTAATGTGCTCAAATATCTTGCCTGGCTTTGTAGGATTGAATCCTCATTAATGTGTGGCTGAGTGCCTCTCCCCATCCCTGGAAATGGCATATGTTTTATCCTAGCTGTATAAAGTGCCGATGGCATTAAAGGGTCAAGAAAGAAACTGTTAAACATGACGTACAAATACAGTTTAAGCTAATAAAAAATAAATTAAATGCCTTTTTAAACAACAAAAACAATATTAGTTTAATTTTTTTTGTTTTAAATTCGCTCGCACAGACAACAAAAAGAGCATAGATTCAACTAAAATCAAATGAGATTCAAAATTGCTTCCAGTGTTGGTGCTGAAAACAAAGCATGCACAAGGGTCTACTACACTGCTCTCTTGCAAGGCATAAACCAGGTCTGCAATAAACTGCTTGATGCTGTCTTGCTGGTCATAAAGCTACCAAAAAAAAAAAGGAGCACAAGGGTCTACTACACTGCTCTCTTGCAAGGCATAAACCAGGTCTGCAATAAACTGCTTGATGCTGTCTTGCTGGTCATAAAGCTACCAAAAAAAAAAGGGGGGGGAAAAAAGGATATGCCATTTTTTATGACACTTTAGGGTCCAATGCAATATAAAATTTATCTTTCTGGCAGTGTATGCTTTCAGCGCAGGTTCTAGTGACTGTGAGGTTTATATACACTTTTATCAGAGAGGAACTGAACATATTTTTTGTTGGATTGGGCCATAGGCAGCTATAGCTGTACCCAAAGGACAGTGTAAATGACAAGCATTCTGAACCCTGGGGAAAATATAAATCATTACCAACAAGACCAAGATAAGAGCTCCTTGAACTGACATTTCCAGTTTTAAGAGATAACTTTTTATTCCCTCAATATTTAAAAGAAATGTTAACTTTCCTAAATATATTAAAATTATCTTTACATGGATTCAAGAATACCATCATGATACCACTCAATAAATGTAACCCCAAAAGACCATTTCTTTAGATCATTTCTTTGACCACAGTGGTATTTTCATTGCCTTCTTCCAGGCGGCTCCTTTGGTTGTTCACCACAAAGAGTGCAGGTGTCTTCAAGGCTTTCCCTGGCCTACCCCAAACTCCACACCCTCACAGACCACACTGATTCCCTCAATTCTTGTTAGGCTTTCAGGGCACTGTTATTAATTTTGCTTCTAACAAGCATCTTTTGTCTTCTCCTTACTGATGTTTTCTTCTAAAACTTCTTTTTACGTTGACACCTATGCACAGACAATATGTGATGCTACATAAATTAACTTCTGCTTTCTTTGCACTGCCCAGTTTGTTGACATTCACATACTACTCCTTACTATGTTGGGACAATATATTCTCTGGGGGATGGACTGTTCTTTTTCCCCTTATATACAGCATTCCAAACCCAAAGCAGCCATGTTCCTAGATAACAATGTCAAATAATGAACAGCAATAACTTGACACCTATGCACAGACAATATGTGATGCTACATAAATTAACTTCTGCTCTCTTTGTACTGCCCAGTTTGCTGACATTCACATATTATTCCTTACTATTGTGGGACAATATACTCTCTGGGGGATGATCTTTTTTCCCCCATACGTTATATGGCATTCCAAACCCAAAGCAGCCATTCCTAGATAACAATGTCAAATAATGGACAGCAATAACCTTAAGCTGGATTTTCTAGATTTTCAAGACATGATTTTAGAACAACTACCTGTAGTGTCTTTTACTCAAAAAAAAACCCCAAAATGCACATGTTCGAAAATCTGAACCCATATATTTCAAGCCTTGATGTTTTAAACTTTGATATGTAGTGGACTCCAGCTAAATTAAATGTAGAAACTTGACCACTATTGGAGCACTTTTCCTGGGGAAAATACACTATATTTTATCTAAGAGACACATAGGGATTAAAAACAAGAATGACATTACCAAAAAGATCTTCTCTTAAGAACCTAAGATCTTCTCTTAGGATCAACAGATCTGGGTTGCAGGCAAATTATTTGAAAACAAGTTGCTGAGGCAATATTCCATCAAAATGACTACTATCAGCCATAAACATATGGGACCCTCTAACTACCCAGGGTAATAAGTCTTGTATATTATTGCTGGGAATTCCTCCAAAGCCCAAATCATTTTTAGTTTGTGAAGCTCCTTAATTTATTTTCCATGGTTGGGAGGAATCTGGTGCTAAACTAAGAATACAGTTTTACCCCCCATTATCTCTGCACATAAAGAGTCACAGAGCTTTGGGCTAGAATTAACATGAGATAGGCTATTATGACTGCAAGAACATTTAACAGTCCCTGTTGACTTTGCAGTTTGTAATAATAAATATCCTCCCCATAATATCTTACTCTATTTTTTTCTGAACTTGATGCCTTGAGGAAGTCTTGAAGCTTGTGATAAAATGCTAACAGTATTTACCTATTTTGTTGCTAGCCTGGATTTCCTTTTCTCCCTGGGAAAAGTCATTTAAAGAAATGATATTTGCAAGCAAAAGCTCTTAAAAGTATAACCTCTGATTTCATGAATGCCCTACAGAAATATGATGTCCTACTGTATTTGATTACTGAAGCAAAACTGACTCTGCTTGTATAAAGTAATGGCACTATTTTATAGCGAAGCATTTGCTCTTCCATGAAGGAAAAACCTTGTAATCAGACGTGAAGGTTATAAAAGATGCAGTCTATGAGTCAGAAGTGTCCTATTAGCACCAATCAAGGTGATAATTAAGACCAGATTTCTGTAAGGAGGGGGTAGGCTTTTAGGGGTCTTCACAAAGTACTGAACTTCATGCACATAATAAGCAGTTCAAAGTGCTCTTACTTTATTAAGAAGATGCTGAAAGTGACTAAAAGTAAGGTGTACTCTTGCATACATAAGTATCTTACTTTGTTAGGCTAACTCTGTGCAACAGAAAAAACTTGCCTACCCTCACATATATTAAGGATGAGGGAGTTTGGCAGTTTTCTTTTTGTTGTTGAGGATTTTTTTAATGGTGGTGGTATTCTGGGTTTCGGTTTTTTTGCCCCCAGAATTGTTAATAAATGCATTTAGGAGAAAAAAATTGAGATGAAGACAACATCCTTTATACATTCAAGGTTTCAGTTCATTAAAAGCTTTTCAGCAAACTAGAGTAACGTTTCACATTTCAGGCACTACAGTTTTCCTTCAACTCATTCTTACTGGTTTTTATTTATTCATAGGTCTGTCAAGCAAATTCAGCAGAGTATCAAGCAAAGCATATACATCACAAATACCCTCTCTCATAAAAAGGCAATCTCAATCTCCATAGATGTCAGCAAGCACTCACAAGAACAAATTAAATCAAGCCATGCTTACACACCTAAATGTGTATTACCCTCTACCCTTTGCACCTTGTGTGGTGTAGAGCTTAGATGAGTAGCAGTCTACTGGCAATTGATTCTTTTTAGGGGGGAAAGCAAAAAACAATTATGTTATTAACAAGACCAACAATACACTCTCTGCTTCACACACATGCCCAGTTCAAGTTAAATTGTGAACAGATGGAAAGTAAAACATTCTCATATATTTCAGCTTCACCACATTCCACAATATTTTTCTAGATCAATAAAAAATACACTTCTTAAAAACTAAAATGTTTAGCATTATAAGCTATTTTCAAATAGGCAATCCACTGATCTTTAGCTTACTAACTTGTTTCCCTTTGCCACCTCACTGATTGTGGCATTATTCTTACTGGACAGCAATTCACTATGGGCATTATTGCAGACAGTTAATTTTATCTTATGAAATCAATTTCAATAATTTTACTTTCAGCATTTATAAAGGTTATTTCATACCTGTGTATTTGCTAGATGTGACTCCCCATTTTCCTCTTACAAATGAAGTATTTTCCAGTTCTCATGAGCTTTCCACAAATGTTGCTGGAACGGTGTCTAAATCTGCAAGTTGAGGGTGAGATGTGCTGTATAAAACATTGTTTTTACATTTGCACAAATAAATAAGTGCTTTCTTTTTTAACAAAGCAGGCAAATGAATCTGAACTCATTTGAACCCTCTAGAACTGCAGCAGGGGAGGAAACCTCCACCATCTTCAGCCACCAACAGCTCCTCTTCACCTTCTCTATCCTCTTTCCTAGGACTGTCCTCATTTATTGCTACCATTTCCAACTCCTTACTCTTCAAATATTTACACCCCGACTTTGTGCTGGCCACCACCCCTCGCCTGCTCTTTTCTGCTTCAACTTCTTCTAATCCTCCCAGGCTTTGTGCCTCTCTATTTCCAAGTCCTCACCACCATGGAGGGCACACTCCCATTGCCAGGTTCCATTACTAATGAGTGCAGTTAGAGATAACAGGATGACACACACCCAGAGCCACACAGAGCCACATATTTAACACCAACACCACACTGAACACAGCCACATTCCCCTGGTGCCACTGCAGATCCAGATGTTGGGGTGAACTGCAGCCTGAGCTTCATTAGGGTCTGGAATTTTCTCCCTGCTTTTTCCTTTCTGCTCCCCTCCTAGCTCAGCCCACCTTCCCAAGAATAAAGTCATGGAGCCTTTAGCACAATCTCAGAAACCCTTATGCAAGTAAATAGTTTGATTCCCATGGAGCTCCTCCAGGATACGGTAAAGCATTGCAGAATTTGGAAAGTGGCCACTTGCTGAGGCACCAAAGACACTTCTCCTCATAAGTTTATTTTACATGTAAAGTGCTGTGCATTTCATATAGCAATACATTTATACAGTCTTTGATCATTTATCTTTCTCAGGCCTCTGTAATTTTCAAGTTAACCACTTCATTCTTCACCACACACAGCCTCATTTAATTTCCTTATATCTGCAGAGCAGGAATTAGACAGGCCCAAAATAGATCAAACAGTGCTGAATTTGGGTCATTATCCACAAAGCATCCCAAGACAATCTGCCTTAGCTGTCAGTGAAAGTTCACTTGCAATATTTTACTCACACTAGAAAAGGAGATAGGGAAGACTAGCAACCTTCATTAAACCAGAAATCTTGAAAAGACTTCAAGCTTGACCTCAAGATCTTCTTCAATGCTCAGACATCTGAAAACTCACCTCTCCTTTTTTCTCCCAAGAACATGGTCAGGAAAGGAATTTTTTTTCAAATCTGACACATTACTATTCTACAGAGCAGTACCTGAAAGCACCAGTTAATGAGTGCAGGATGACACACACCCAGACTTCAGCAGAGCCACATATTTAACACCAACACCACACTGAACACAGCCACATTCCCCTGGTGCCACTGCAGATCCAGATGTTGGGGTGAACTGCAGCCTGAGCTTCATTAGGGTCTGGAATTTTCTCCCTGCTTTTTCCTTTCTGCTCCCCTCCTATCTCAGCCCATCTTCACATGAAACCTTTAGCACAATCTCAGAAACCCTTATGCAAGTAAATAGTTTGATTCCCATGGAGCTCCTCCAGGATAAGGTAAAGCATTGCAGAATTTGGAAAGTGGCCACTTGCTGAGGCACCAAAGACACTTCTCCTCATAACTTTATTTTACATGTAAAGTGCTATGCATTTCATATAGAAATACATTTATACAGTCTTTGATCATTTATCTTTCTCAGGCCTCTGTAATTTTCAAGTTAACCACTTCATTCTTCACTACACACAGCCTCATTTAATTTCCTTATATCTGCAGAGCAGGAATTAGACAGGCCCAAAATAGATCAAACAGTGCTGAATTTGGGTCATTATCCACAAAGCATCCCAAGACAATCTGCCTTAGCTGTCAGTGAAAGTTCACTTGCAATATTTTACTCACACTAGAAAAGGAGATAGGGAAGACTAGCAACCTTCATTAAACCAGAAATCTTGAAAAGACTTCAAGCTTGACCTCAAGATCTTCTTCAATGCTCAGACATCTGAAAACTCACCTCTCCTTTTTTCTCCCAAGAACATGGTCAGGAAAGGAATTTTTTTTCAAATCTGACACATTACTATTCTACAGAGCAGTACCTGAAAGCACCAATTTTTCAGGGTCTCTTCACAGCAGCCATTTCCTCTGACCACCTAAACCTCATCACCTGGTTTAAATTAACTATGTGCTTAAATACTCCACTGCCCCAATGCTAGAATAGCTTATCTCTACCTCTAAAAGCAAACCCTCCCTCCTGTCTTTTTCCAAGTACACTCTGGAACACTGAACACTAGCTTTAATCTGGTTTTGTTACTCATTCATTTTTCATATTTTGACTTGAAGGTTTTAATTTGTAAATTAATACAGGGCATTGTATCCTTCTGCTAAACCAGTTTTTGTGTCACAGTTTCACTCTAAATCAAACAAACAGAAAACACAGAGTCTCTGCTTTGGTTTGCTAGAGATATTTGCATATAGTCACTAAGGAAAGGTTATTTATTCCATCTGATTGATTTTTAAAATTTGTCCGTAGCATAAAGAACTAAGGTATTTTTTTTTACATTTTGATTGATGATTAGATCACGAAGCAAGTCAGAATCTAAAAGAAACACTGATATTTAAGCATTATTAATTGAAATGATAAATTTGAGGGCTTCTCTTATCACTACTATCAATACATTCAATAGCATTCCAGCATTCAGGCTTGCAACACAGAAAAGTTTGATTGATGATTAGATCACGAAGCAAGTCAGAATCTAAAAGAAACACTGATATTTAAGCATTATTAATTGAAATGATAAATTTGAGGGCTTCTCTTATCACTACTATCAATACATTCAATAGCATTCCAGCATTCAGGCTTACAACACAGAAAAGTCTTGGCAAGCAATAGCTCAGACACACTGTATTTATTGCAGTCATGAAGCCTATTATGGACATCTTTGTTTATCTCATCACAATTAAACATTCATGAAGAAATATTATGGAAAAATGCATTTTTGGTCTCATAGCTCATTAGCACAATTTAAGAGTACCCTGTAGTTAAGCTGCCCAGCCTCTCTCTCAAGGAAAGTGGGGATCTGAATCTAAATTGCAAGTGCTCTCCTCCCCCTCATCTGTGCATTTTCAAAACCAGGATTTCAGTCTTGCTTACTAACCCATGTCTGACTGGTCTGACCTAACAAAGAGGACAGGGTGCAGGAATAAACTTCTAAAGTGTATTTTATTTAACTTGCCTCATAGAGAAGGACCAAATTTCCACAGTATCAATGTCATCACACATGGTCTGGATTTCAGCCTGTAACAATCAGTGAAAAATAACTAAAGGGACACACGCAAAACAACGAAAACTTGCTATTTGCAACAAAATCATTGTTTTCAGAAAACCAAGGAATACTGACAGCAACCACATACTCTGTACCTTCCCATGCCCACATACATCCTTACACTGCTATTACAATAATCTAATAGATTGTTTCTCCATGCAAGGTTATAAAAGTGTGGTTTATTAGGGTACTGCAACCATAAACTTAGGATTGTTTCTCAGGCTGAATTTATATCTAGCCATCAAAATGCATTACTACATTCCAGTCACTTTTTTTTCCTTGCACATTAACATAATCATCCCCAACACTTCAAAGTAAGGGAAGTTATATGTAGCTGGTATTCAAACGTACAGCTCTGTCTTTTTTAATAAAGGCCCTCTTTTATTTTCTAAGGGCATGATGCATATGTAGGCAATCACCAATGATGAAACCACAGCTACATTATAAACTACCTTATTAAAAATTAAGGATTGTAATTACATATTGAAACCAAGAAAATTATTATTCCTTTTTCCATACTCTTGTGTACAGCAGAGCTTGTGACCCTCAGACAAAGGCATATCCAAGAAAACGAATGTGTAATCAGTTCTTCAGACTCAGCAATGGCTTGTGGTGAGAGCCGGGATGCTCCTGAACAAAAAATTCCGAACCCCATGGTTCATCTGTCACGGACAGGCAGCGACCCCACTGCTTAATTGTGTGTTTAATTGGGTGCTTAATTGTTTAACTGTGCCCAAATCCCTCCATATGCCCACGCACCAGGATTCCTTATAGAAGCCCGCTGAATTCCCATAGTATATGCGTACACATGATCTAGATTTCAGCCAGTGAAAAATAACTAAAGGGGCACATGAAAAACAGTGAAAACTTGCTGTTTCCAACGAGACCGCTGCTGTCACAAAACAAAGCGGCGAGCACCACGCTGCCGAATTAACTTTTGGTATGTTTTCAGTTTAATCTTTAATGACTACGCGTACAAGAAGAGAACCCAAGGCACCGAGCGGGGCAGGGAGCGGCGAGCCGGGACATCCCCGCCCGGCCCGGCTCGCCCTTGGGATTGCCGGGCAGCGCCTCTCCCGCGGCTCGGGGAGGCCAAACGAGGGCGGACAGACAGAAAAACCTCACAGCGAGGTAGAGAAGCCGAGCCACCCGCCCTGGCCATGCCAGCCCCGGCCGAGCCCCGCCGGGTGGGCGGGCGCAGCGCGGAGCCCCGGCCCGGCCCCGGCCCGCCCCTCAGCGCCGGGAGGCGGAGCCGGGTGGGCGATCGCGGCCCGGCCGCTTCCTGGTCACCGGAGCAAGAGGCGACAGCAGCCCGCCCAGGCGGCTGCGGGGGTCCGGCTGCCGCCATGGCCTCGCTCTTCAAGAAGAAGACCGTGGACGGTGAGTGGGCGCCCGGGGAAGGCCCCGGCAGCGGCCGCCCCCAGCCCTCGCACGGCCCCGGGCGCGGGGCTGGTCCCGGCCGGGGCTCCGGGGCAGCGGGAGCCGAAAACT